CGTCCTGAGGTTCTGGCGTCGCGTTGTGGACGTGAAACCAAGCAGTTTGCCGTCTTGTCGAGAACTTAAACTTAAACTCGCCTCAACGATGGAAAGTGCACCGAAAAAGTAAATTAATTGATTTGTGTGGCAAACAAAATTTTTGAAGTCTCTTAAGTATTAATTCGTCCCTTTTTGTTAGAGTTGTGATGAGCTGGACGGAAGAAAAGGATGTTTTACTCATGAGAGAAATGGCCGCTCGAGGGATTTTTCAATTCAAGTCTGGAAGCCGAGAAAGAGGCACTGTTTGGCAAGCTATCGCCAAAAATCTGAATGGTCACAAAGATCTCTTTCATTCTGTCACTTCGAGAGGTGTTGGAGACAGATTTACTCTGATTTTAAGAAGGTATAAGGCGAAAAATGCCGAAGAACTAAAAAGTACCGGCGAAGGTAGCGAAGACGAACTAAGAGAATACGATTTACTACTGGAAGAGTTAACTCACTTAAGTGAAGAGTCCGACAAGAAAGCTAATGCAGAAGCCGAAAGTGCCAAAGAAAAAATCAGTGCAGAAAAGGAATTGGCTCTTGATATAAGGAAAAGAGCAATGGAAACAATGGGCCAAACTTCAAAAAGAACAAAATCTGATGAGCTCCAGGACGACGAGGAAAGAAAGAAACGAAGAACTGGAGGGGACACCTTGGCGTGGCTGGAAAAAAAAGCGGACCGAGATTTTAAGTACAAAGAGCTCCAGCTTGAAGAGCAAAGAAAAGAAAGAGAGTTCCAGCAAAGAGAAAGGAAAGAGCAGATGGAGCTTATACAGAAGCAACTTCAAATGCAAGGAGAAAGCCAAAAGCAACAGCAACAACAACAAATGATGCTCATGCAGCAGATGATGAGTATTATGCAACAGCAGCAACAACAGCTTCAGCTTTTCACTTCAAAACAGGATAAAGACTAAACTTCAATTTACTTTTGCTTATGCATTGTTAAAAATAAAGTTTGAAATGATGTTTGCATTATGGTTAGTACCATTATAACAAAATTTTATCTTTAGTTTTTGAGAGAAGGTTCAACATTGTTTACTCTTCGAAAATGTTGTTTACTGTTTGAGAGCTCGTTTTAGTCATAAACTGTGGTGAAATAATCCTCTTAAAGGAGTGTTACTTTTTATTTAACTCTCATCATTTAGTTGAAATTACCTTTTCTCGTCATTTATAATTGTTACTTGGTTACGCATAATGTAATGTGACCATGGCCTGTTGATCCTGAACACTACATAATTAGAGGCCCTTAAATTTTGGCTTCCAATTTTCATATTTCAAAACATTATACAGCTGGTACTGAAAAGGAATCAGTTAATGGGGATGTTTTAGTAATAAAAGTTTGATATGTGGATTGTGTGCTGTTGTATTTTCAAAGAAAAATTAACACATGCGTGTATTTTTTCTAGTCAGTTTACCTACAGCAAGTGACACAGTTAGTCCAATCTCACCATTTATTTAATGCAGAAGTCAAGAGATTTTATGTTTAACGCTAGTCATGTTCGTCTTGGACGTAAATGCTAACGGTGAGCTTGTGCTATGTTAGTGCTGTTATTAAAAGTCCTCTGGTAAAATTGGTACACATGAATTTTCTCTTTCCTACCCCTAACAATATTAAAGTTAAAACCTAAATAATCTTAGGTACAAAAGACATTTTTGCCAGCAACGTTAAGGCTTACTTTTGAACCCTATAGGGTGTTTTATCATTGAATGCATCAATTAAAGAATACAATGACAATGATATTTAATTATTTTTATTCCACATTGCTTGAATACTATGTTGCACAAAATGGTGTGGAAAGCTAAGACTATTTCTCACAATGTATATATAAAACAATTTAAACAACAATGATTACACTTTTCACTACTTAAAAAGACCTGGCTATCAGCAGTGTCCCAGTGTATCTTTACATCCAAACACAGTTATCTATAATGAAAATAACCTTTGAACAACATTAACCATCAGAAATATCGTAAACAACATTCGTGTATATTTTACCAGAAATAAGTTAGAAGGTCTGGGGAGTCAACACCAAAATAATCCGAAATGATGTTCCCATATAGGCATGTGTGGGCATTTTGAAGAATTCCACAAACCAGGTACATTTTGCCAACAGGGCTAAGGCCAATCTTTAGCTGTTTATGGAACTCAACAAACTTGTAGTAATTTAAAATGCAGCCAAACATCCATTCTACAGCTACTCTGACTTCACTCATATGATCATTGAATCTTGCCATCTGTGGGGTGAGGGGAACATTTCTAAATGGAGCTTGTAAATGGATGCCTAAAGGATATGCCGGGTCGCCGTACAAACATGACGGCCTCCCATCATTTGCCCATGCAACTACTAGGAGATCCCTTAGTAAGCCTGATTCACAGAGCATCGTGGCATCGTGCCTTCGCCCCTCATAGGGTCCATTTAGGTTGGCTATGAGCCCATTTGGAAGAACAACATTCTGAAATTTTAATGCATGCGCA